CATTGTTTTTTGCATTAACTGCAGGCAAGTTTTATTGCTCATAGTTTCCCAATGATCTACAAACCATAAGACCCTACATCTCCTTTCACTCTTTCCCTTCTTAAGCACCATACAGCTTCTCTAGGTTAGTTAGTATGTGCACACCTTGCAGTTATTGAAAGCATTACAGAACTTCCAGACTAAAAAATTTCAAAGGCTGCAGGTTCTGAGATATTTTAAGGATACACCCTTCTTTAAACTCATCTGTCCTCCACCACTTTGGGAAAATAACAGGATATGGCTATAGGCATGCACAGTCTATTGCATTAGGTTGTGCACACAAAAGTAGAAACACGCACGTACACACACACACACACACACACACACATATATATATCACACACACACAGACCTAAGCCATCCCGGATTCCCATCTCTTCAACTGTCCCTAACCTCTTCCAGCAGAGGCACAGTAATGAAGCAGGAAGTCTGGCAGGTGCTCATGTGACCAGCTGCCCGGCTTCCTGATTGGATGAGAAGCCGCAGGCACACTCTCTCGCAGCTTTCCAGGCACTAAGGACTGTGACTGTTATGTGCGGAATGTAAGTGGCAAGTGCTGCTGCGCTTTGTATCACTGAGCGTTTAGACACACACCCTGTGCACGCCTATGGATAAGGACTGATCAAATTTGCAGTGCACAGAAGTAATACTTCAAAGACCATAGTTTTCAGTGTAAAGGTAGACTCCATGTAACCACTTAATGGAAAGGAAGACTATCACCCACCATCATCGTTGTTTTATTTTGTACTACTGGGCATAGAATATTTGGCCCATCTCTCACCCATATGTGCAAAAATGTATTGAAAGACACATGATCTAAGGTGACCATGTGCCCAAGCCCTCAAAAAGGCCTTTACAGCACATCAGAATCTTATATTAAAATGACGCTGTAACTTCTAGAGAAGAACATTTTTGAATAAAGTTAAATATTTTCAGTGCTATTTTATTGAATAAAATGTTGCCCTTGCCAGAACAAACGTTTTGGCATCTAAGATTGCTTACCATCCCATTAATGACCAGAAATGTTTGAAGCTGAGGCGCCCCGGCCCAAGTTTAGCAGTTTTAGTATGAATCAGCTAACTTGACAATACCTCTATGCCTAAATGACAGTGGGTCTAAGAATTACACATTCCTAGTTCTCTACTGCCAGGTTAATTACCATTCCTACAGTAAGGAGCTTTTTACGTTGGATTTTAAAAAGTCACATTGCAGTCACAAACAGGTTGCTAACAACATACAAAGTGATCTACAACTCTGCCGCAACCTACATCACCGACCTCATCTCAAAGTATAACCCAAACTGTCCTCTCAGCACCTCTCAAGACCTACTGCTGTCTAGCTCTCTAATTACCTCCTCCCATGCTCACCTCCAAGACTTCTCCAGAGTGTCCCCCATCCTCTGGAGCTCCTTACCTCAATCTGTCCGCTTATCTCCTACTCTGTCCACCTTCAAGCAATCCCTAAAAACCCATCTCTTTAGGGAAGCCTATCCCACCTCAACATAACTGCCCTATTACTTCTTCCAATAACTCAATCTCAACAATGTTTACCTTTTATATCACGTGCCCCTCCTAATTAGATTGTAAGCTCTCACGAGCAGGGCCCTCCTAACCCTATTGTACTGAAATTGTATTGTATTGTAACTGTACCATCTCCTCCATTTTGTAAAGTGCTGCGCAAACTGTTGGCGCTATATAAATCCTGTATAATAATATAATAATAATAATAATAATGAAAACTAAGGAGGTCAAATGAAGTCAACATTAACAGCAGCTAATCAGAACGTCATCATCACTTTTAGAAAGGCAGAAAGGCCTGGAATTCGCAGGCCAAATAAATAACTCAGTACCTTCCAGATATTAACAGATACACCTAGACACTTGCATCCTGGCCTGTTTCTGTGGTCTAGTGGTGGTTCCGCAAATCAGCACAATAATTTATTAATAACCACTTGGTATTTTTCCGCACGGGCCAATTAACAGCACTGAAGACCAATGATTGTACTTACGAAGATAATTAGCGGAAAATGAAAAAACACAAATCCAGTTTATCGTAATTAAATTCTGATTATCATTGCATTTTGCGTTGAAGGCACACATAAGAAACCAAACTTGAGACCAAACTGCTCACTAAAGGAATTGCTTGCTAGTCAGATGTGGATTGATAATCCATACATCGAATGATCTTTTTTTTTTTTTTACATGGTCAAGTACATGAACATACACACTCAGAAAGGTGTGTATATCTTTGCAGTGAGAAAACGCCCTCATGGTCATTAAATAGCATGCCAAGAAAAATCAACAATGATTGGTACTTATAGCCAATTTCTTCATAGTGTAGTTTGAATAATAGACGTTGATTTTTGATTGGCTTCTATAGGTTACAACCCTATTTTTATTACCCTTCAGCTATTATCTTCTTATTATCTACATGTGCAACCAGTTAACAAGGAACCACCCATCATCAAATGTTCTTTAGCAGTCACATTTAAGTAATCAATAGTAGTACAAACATTAACTTGTGTTTTCTTACTTGCTCTAGAAAAATACAAATTCGCAGAATGTGATTTTCTGTTACAAATGCTCTGTTTTCCCTTTTCTCTGGTTTTATACATCAACTCCTGAAGGGTTTCAGTGAACAAAAACTATATAAAGCAGCCCAGTTGGTTTACAAAAGTTTCTCGGTAAAAGCATACCTTTAAAAAGAACAGCCCGCACCAATCCTGCGAACAATTCCCCTGAATTCTGCTAACAAAAAACGATATTTCCGAGAATGTCACTCTGGGTCCTCACATCTCTTACTGGTTCCTCCTGCTGTGAGAGCTGTGGGGGGCCCAGGAAATCAGCACGGGCGAAGGGAAAGGTGAGTATGTATACTGTTCTTTTAAAGGTATGCCTTCACTGGCAAACTTTTGTATAGCAACAGGGTCACTTTACAGTGAACCGGCACAAAAACAACTAAAAGTAATATAACTTTGAAAAAACAGGAAAGCTTCTATGTGTCTGTGCTTAAATACCTAAATGCAGCAACATTCTATCAGCAATTCACATCAGAGCTTTGGCATGCCCCCTAGCATCCCACGCTGCAGGGCATATGACTTAGTTCCAAATAGACAGATATGCGCCCTGCTTGCCCTGAAGCATGCCAAAGTTCAGACTTGGATATTTGCTCAGTAATGTGTACTCCCCAGGTACATTTTTTCTTGCCAACTAAAGTTTTTGGTGCCGGCTCCTAGAGAGTTAAAAAAAAAATAATATTTGGTTTTCATGCCAGGTTCACGTCATGCAAAGGTCACTTATCTTTATAGAGCAACCGCCTGACCTGATATCTTGATGTGGATATTACATTGCATACAGCCTGCGTTAAATATATAGAGGCAGTGACGCAATCAATTTTGGGAGACTATAGAAGAAATGCTGACATCCATATTGTAACATAACTCCCAAGTAGGGCTGCAGCTAACAATTATATTCATAATCGATTGGTTGTATTAACAACAAAAAAACTCTCTCTCTCTCTACTAATCGATAATGAGAATCGTTGCCAACGATTCTCATTACCGATTATAATCAATTTAATTGATTCGTTGTTGCAGCCCTTTTAACAAGCCCCTAAAGTAGAACTGTGGCCAAGCTATAGTCACTCAATTATTTATGTATCCTTAACAAGCAGTAAATAAACTTTATAACAAGCCTCCACTTACCGCTGTAGCTGCAGGTTTTGTGGAGTAATTAATCCTCAAAGATTACAGCAGTAGCTTCACAGTTTTACCTTTACTTTCTCTTTGTGGATCAGCTCCCCCCTCCCAGCCTTGAGTAAGCCCTTTAAACCCTAATGTAAAAATAGAGCAGGTGCGCAGGAAAAGGGGGAGAGCAAAGTGTAGCTATCCCACATGCCAGTGTTGTTGCTTGGTGACTGGCCGCTCAGGCGCCCAGCACTATCACATGCAGAGGCAAGGAGAGAGTCTTCAGCCTTGCATAAGCTGCAAGTTGAACATTAGAGCATACACAGGACACACAGATGATTGGAGCAGCAATGGACTAAAAGGGAAGTTAGAGTGACTCTGTTGCTGCTAAATAAAATAAAGCCCAGACTGTAATAGAACAAAATTAATATTTACCTGTCCTGCTGTATTTGCTACCAATCACACCCTCCACTTGTACGCTCTGTATTTCCTCCCGCTGGCCCCTACATCACTATGGTAGCCTGATGTGGAGGGAACCACAGAGGGCAGCATGGGATCAGCATTCAACAATTCCAGAAGTGTTAAAAGCAAAATATTCTATAGACAGCGTTAGCGCCGTAACAGAACAAGAATCAGCAGCGTGGGCAGCGGGACAGGTAAATATTAACTGTGTTTTTTACAGGCTGGGCTTTGTTTAATTTTTTGTTTAAGGTAGTGACAGTGTCACTTTAAGTACATGTAGCTGAGAGGGCCAGCTTTAAAGTGATCCTGCTGGTTTGCCCTGCATGGGCAAAGCACAGGTTCACTTTAAACCATGCCTGACTGTAGCCAAACTAGGCCCGTTTTATCAACACACTTCTAGCAAAATCATCACAGTTGCAAGACAAGAATACAAGATTATAATCGATCGCAATTGGCTATATTAGACCCCACAGCCATTACAGAGATAGTGGGTGTTGATAAAAGTTCACTTTACCCAAAACCAATATTGCGGTAGCTGAAGACTAGCTTGGTCATCCACAGACACATGTCTGTTGAGGACTCTAGCCTCTAGCTATGAGATTTTTGCAACATGGCATGACCACATCCACTAACTTCTGCCATAGTGAGGGCATCACTCTTACTGCAACAGAAGGATTGAGACACCATGGCACCGAATTGGCATAGCAGCCTTAGAAGCCAATGGGAAATTCAGTCCATAAGCCTTTACTTACTATGCTACGAGAGACTAACCTTGTAACACATAAGAAAAAGTTTTTTGGGTTTTTTTTTTTACCTCTTTTGGCTGTTTTCCTGCATGTTGTTGTTGTAATAGCTGAAGCTGCAGCTGTTCCTGTTGTTTCTTGTAAAACTCCTGAAGCTGCTGCTGTGAGAAAGAGGTATAATAGTGTCAGTTACGGTGTATTAAGTGACAGTCCTGGAACTTCTTTTTCTGTGTATGTGTGTACGTGTGAGACACAAAAAGTGATTTGAAATATCACATTCTTTTATCTAAGATGCTCTGACCTTTCCTTAGAAACCTGACAATAAATTCAGCCTGCTCAGACGATTCTTGGCGATGCAGTTCTAAAAAGTAATTTCCAAAATGTACTGATAGAAAACATGCCTTGTGATTTTTTTTTTCCCCCCCTCTTCTTTCTTCCTGAGCAGCCTAATTAAAAGAAGGCGAAGGATGACCTTTGTTTGTTACAACAAAGACGCTGTGCCCTTGTGGAGGAGCATGGTAAATCTAGCTTGTAAAACACATGCATCCATTTTCAATGATGGGCTTCAAGTCCATTTACTTCTGGCTACTGTAGGAACCCTAATCCCCTCTATTTCAATAGAGAACAGTGGGTGGATAACAGATGCTGAAGAAAGGGCATATCTGTAATACATGTTTGATTTATATAAAT